TTCTCTCTGTCTCTCTCTCTCTCTCTCTCTCTCTCTCTCTCTCTCTCTCTCGCACCCGTGTACACACACACACACACAAAGTGTGTGTAATTTAAGATACACTTAAATTTTGTTAGGCATACCATCAGTGAACACAGACTGTATTAAGAGAGAGAACCGGGAAAGAGAGGGAAGAAAGATTATTAGACTTTATCAGAAACAACAGAATTGAATTTTCAAAAACTATTGCTTATTCTCAAAATATTTTGCTTCTCAAGCACATTTTCAAAGAACAATTGGTTGAGTCAAAACATAGTGGTGAGAACTCTGAATAAAGTACCAATCTAATCATCCATCCAACAAACGTTTATTGAGTGTTTCACATAAGTCTATCACAATATGAATGATAAAAGGTGAGTATAGTACCAGTAAGGAGGGACAGTGTGATATGACAAGGGCAGGACCAGAGGGACAAGTGGGAGAGGTGCAAAAGAGGGGCGAGGGGTGCAGGCTGCATAGCTATTTTTGAGTGGTGGGAAAAAGGTGGAAGGGGTCATTAGAGAAGGCTTGAGCGAGGAAGTGACGTTTTTCTTCAGTCTTAAAGGATGAGTAGAACTTTGACCAAGAGTGAAGAGTGAGTTGGGAGCATCCCCAGTAGAGGCTACAGCATATTCAAACACGGAGACTTACACGCTAGACAACTCATTTCTTTTTAAGTCTGTTTCCTCATTTGCAAAATGGGAATAATAATACCTTTCCTGGCTAAAAGGGAGTTATTGTAAGGATCAAATGGGCATTTTGTAAGAAAGCGCTTGATGATGATGATGATAACTCTAATTTTAAAAGTGCTTTTTCTTATTTTCTAATATCATCATATTTATTAAATCCATATACAATAACCTAACAACATAGCTATTATAATCTCCATTTTACAGATGATAAAACAGAGGCTCAAAGAGAAATAAATCTTTGTGAAAGTATGAAATAAAAGAACTGAGGTGTGAAATCTGTATTGTATACACTATCTATGTCTCAATTCAAAACTATAAAGTTTCACAAAAATAAATGTGTGTGTGTATATGAGAGAAAGGGGCTTTTTCTCTCATCCTAGGATTCTCAAGAGGATCTATATTTAACTCAGTTTCATGCCTCAAATTTAAAATTCAGGACTTTTAACCTAAGAATTTAAGGGTTAACATTTTTTTCTGGACAATCAGCAAATCATCTTGTGTATTATAAATAGTATCCTAGTTAATTAAATCATTACTTTAACTTAGAAAGGCACTGAACCTTTACTTGCTCTGTAACTAGACACCCAGTCTTACATAAACTGCATCGCCAGAGGACACTGAGTCTGTCGCATTACTTCATTTTTTCAAAGGTTCCAGAATTGCGATACCAAGGCAATGGCTGTTAGAGAGCTCCTCCCTGAGGATCTCTCCAATTACAGCTTTGGGAAGCCTTCCCAATGTCTTCTGATGGAATGTTCCCAACAGCAGTTACAGCCATATTAATTAGACAATTTGCATAGGCCTACATTCAGAATAAAGATTGACAGATGAGGAAACTATACCTTAATGATTGGTCTCTTTGAAGAGAATTTCTTTCCTGACAATTGCATCTCTTGGTTGACCATTAACCAGGAAATGGGAGATTCTTGTGCAAAAACGGACAGAAAACATTCAAATTCAATTTTTCCAAAGTGACTACTTGAGTATCGTACTTTTTTTTTTAACCAAGGAAGTACGTCTATTTTCTCACTGTTAATAGAAACGTGCTGTCGATTCCAACTTGGTCCCTTATTGACACTACATTCAATTCACAATAATATAAAAAGGATACAGGGAATAAAAAGAATACAGGGAAAAAACAGGTATCCTTGATTGCTTTACTTAATACACTTCTAGGAAGATATAAAATAAAAGCCCCAGTCTACTGACATAGACAATAAAAGCCATTTCCTGGGAACTGTGTTGATTAAAAACGCTGAACGTAAGTTAAGTGAAAATTCAACGTATTTTAGCACAATTTAAAACAGTCACATGTTTTCTGCACCTGATTTTGAGTGATAACATAAAGATACCATTTCTGTACGTATGCTTGTCCCCATAACAGGTTCTAAGCCCTGGGGCAGCCCCCAGACTACTCTGGAACTTCTCTATTAGAACCTGTTATGTTTATTATGCTCCTGATAACCCTGAGACTCTCTGGCTCCTTACACATTATTCCAGAATGACCTTGCCATTTACTATCTCTAAGTCTTTGGAAGGTATTTGACTGCACTGAGCCTTAGCTTCTTCATTTGTCAAACTGGGCTAATCATACCTACTTCATACAGTTATTTTAAGGAGTAAATGAGATGATATATGTAGGGCACCTAACACACAACATGGTTGGCTCACAGGAGGCATTTAGTAATTGTTAGTTCCCTTCCCATCTCCTGGGTTTGGGCCCTAGTGGTGAACCACACACCCCAATTACCCAAGCTGTTCATATGGCAAGATGATACAGAAGGCAGCCAGAGTACCTGGGTCAAAATCCAGACAGGAGAGGCCTGTCATCATGTTCTCTGCCTAGGATGTGTCACCTCAGGTTGTGCCAACACACAGGCAGCTCATAAACTCTCCGAGTCAATAGAACAGTTCTGAGACGAGCCAATGTCTCATTGAGATCAGTGCTTCTTATATTTCAAGAAAGAATCTTTATTCTGCTCAATTCTCTGTCATTGTGCAATCAAGTAGGGATAAATTGTCTTAGAGATGTCATTCAGGAACACACTCAAAAGCCCATTTGGGTATCAATGAAAATGTTTGATTTTAGATCGAGAGCCCCTAAACATTCATTGTAGAACTCAAGATAAAAATTTCTCCTCTTTGAAACAATCACAAGATTAGAAATGATAATTCAGCACTAAAACTGCAGATTATTTAGAAATGTGGTATCTAGTTTGGGGTATCTCAACTTTTTTACTTAACGTTCGGTAGGCTAAAAGTGCTTGCAAAGCCAGGTGTGAACTTTCTCAGATTAGCACTGCTTTTCTATGGGAGCTTGGGTCACAGTTTCCCAATCTATAAAGCAAGAACATCAATATCAAACATTTGTAAAATGTAAAAGTAATCAAATGATTGTGTGAGTGAGTAGCAATTTACATCTGCATGTGTTGGAGGCAGAGGATGGAACTGAAGGTGTCCATATTTTTCCACCATCATAAATATATATAAATTCCACAAAAAGCAACAATAAAATGTTTGCTGAAATATAAAATAAATGTCTCCTTCTTTTGAAAGACAGACATTTGGGAAAAGCATTTCTGGTAATCTATTGTTTGGTAGCTTTGCCTTTTTCCCACACGCTTTAGAATATGACTACTGGATCTGCATACCTGAATAGAATGTAGAGATAGGATATAGAACTTCAAACAGGAACTTTTCTAGTGGCGGAGAAATATCTAAACAAACTGGGAAAACAGAAACTGACCTAACTTATTTGGAAATGGGCTTGGCAGCTGATGAAATAGATGAACTATAATTAAGTAACGCAATAAAGGAGTTAAGCACTTTTATGACAACAAAAACACACACCACACACACACTAGGTGGGTGGTAACCAAGTTATTCATAGGCTCTTGCTGTATCAAATTAGAATATTCAATGAGTGGCCCAGAACAGACACTTGCATTGTTCAGATGCAACCTTACAGGTAGAAAAAAAACCACTAAGCCATTCTGACCTCTAGGTTAATTTCTCACTCTAGGAAGACTGTCACATTTCCAATTTTATTCTTTTCACAAAGACTTCTAAACAAAGACAGCAAAGCCACAATATTTACTGAGGATCTCCTAGCAAGTCATTCTTAGCACAGTTTTGGTAGAAACCACAGATCCTGTTTCCACTTATGTTCTTGAACCTGGACCAGTAAGTTCCAACTATGCATAGTATGCATTTCATTAGGTCTCCCAACCCCTGAGATAAGTCATGTCGAAATAATAATTTAACTGTCACATCCTGCACAGGTAGAGTTAGTCTGTTGGGGCAATTCACCTCACTGCCACAGGAAGAATGTGAGACTGGCAACTTTTATTTCCTTATTCAAAGAACATTCAAAGCTGTATGTTCATATGCAGCTCCAAACTCCTCTCGAAGTTTAAGGAAATAGGAATTAGGAAGAAGAGATTTTTTTCAAACCAGGAAGGCTACATAAAGATTTTTTTTTTTCCTGCCCAGAAGAACAAAATCATCTCAAATAGGAAGACAGGCACTAAAGTACACTCAGAGATTACTGGATTTGGGGTGCAATTAGCAGCAAGTGAAAAGCGCCTGACCAGCCTACCACGCTGCGGGCTGGGGGACCGGAAGCGGCCGATGTTAGGGTCTAAGGGCGTCTGGGAGCCCCAGGCCCTTCCCATGTCCCTCCTGCTCCAGGTACGCAAGAACGGCGTTTAATTCCTTCGCGCCCGGAGCTCCAGCAGAGCTGGCACCACCAGCTCATGCCAGTGCCCCCAGAAGCTTAACCAGGCTTGATTTAGAAAACTGCGGGCAAGACAGAGAAGCGAAAGCATTTCTTTCCAAAAGGTCAATTAGGCGCGGGTCTAGTCTCTACTCCCCCACCCCCACCCCGCTCAGCAAGAAAGAACAAAATTTGAAATGTCAACACTGCTTCCCAGGTCTCTAGATTTCAAGAACTGGCAAATTTTCAAAAGAAAAAAACAATAGCTTTTCGATTTTTTATTTTGCCTAATAAGGAGCTACATTAATACATGCATAACATACATACCAATAGTAATTGATCAATGAAAGACATTTTTAACACAGATTGCCGCTCCCCACCCCACCCCATTCCATCCTAGACTTAAGGGAAAGACAGGCTCACGTAACAAGAAACATCCTTTTAAGTGGAGTGCACTTCGGCTCCGTGGAAAACTCCCTACTCGTCAAGTGACCCAAGCCCAGGGGCCGCGCTGTCTCCCCGGCGGCGGCGGGAGCGGGGCTGCGGCGGCCGGAAGGGGGCGGCCGGGGGCTTACCCAGGCAGAGCAGCAGC